CATACCACCCACTTGATTATCTGGAGAATGTCGACGCGCACAATCCTCAGCGCCACGATCTGATCGGATCGTTGGGCTGATAATCGGCTTGTTGGCACCTGTGAAGCAGGCATAATTAATGCTCAGGTCTAGGTGAGGCTCAATCGCCAACCTCCAGCCTCGGGTCTCCCATTTTTACCCCCTCCACTGGCGCTGGGTATGATTCTATCTATCGCATGCAATCGCCAATTAGCCGTTCGTTGCTGGGGGGTTACATGTAATGGAATGAATTAGCGAATGGGTTGTGGAGGTATGTTGATGTGTCGGTGCATGGTGATGGAAATATTTTGCTTTCGAATGAAAAGTCCGAAAATGCAGTTTTTAGGTCTCCCCACACGGAAAAATTTGTATTTTGAAAAAAATAGATAAAAAATATCTTAAATTGGCCTAAATTATATTTCAAAATTGTATAAAATATATGTTTTATATATATTTTTTATATCTTCTTTATAAATTTTAAAAATATATGGAATTGCCCCATATTATATTTTTTTTTTAATTTTTTATGGGGATTATCCTTACGTATGTCACAAAGCTTTTCTTCAATTGTTCGCTAATGAATGGATGGAATTGATTCTTTTTTTTCAAATGTAGGTATTGTTAAGCCCTATCAATCGCCATTAATTAAAATTGAATTCATCGATTAGTTTTTTTAATTTTCGAATTTTTTCGAAATGAAGCCGACNGCCATTAATTAAAATTGAATTCATCGATTAGTTTTTTTCATTTTCGAATTTTTTCGAAAATGGGTTGTTCCACGATAACTAAAAAAAATGTTCTGAATTGATTGAATGATGGCTTGAAAAATTGTTTGAATGTCCTTTTGACCGAGTTCGAAGATGAAGCCGACAGCAATAATCGTTATTTTGATTTATTTGAAAATTTGCAAAAAATTTGTATTTTTTGAAAATCAGAATCCCGGGGATATCTTTGAATATCATGCTTCAAATGAATTCAATCATAGCTTAAAATGTTTGTTTTAATATTGGTTGATTTGATTTTTATAATGATTGTTGAAAATTTCGAACTTTTCATGAATTTCCCTGAAAGCGAGCTTTCTGATGCTTCAAATGTGATGTTTCAAACTCATTCAAGTATGTATAAATGAAATTTTTCTATTAACATTTTATCGAAGGGCTGAGGGGAGAAATAGAACCGTAAAAAAACAATCGGTTGTATAGAAGAAAGGGATAACAAGAATAATGATGATAATAACATTCAACTGAGTTGAAAATCCGACAAAATTAGTTGAAAAGAAATCTCTTTCACTTTAATAAAATGAAATAAACAATGAATTACACATGATAGAAGGAAATGATGTGCAAAATAACCGCTCGCAAGCATATTTTTCCCGAACTTCGTAATTTTTAAAATTAAAGCTCAAGAAAAATTCTAGTGCTGCTCCAGAATTTCCCCTACTCAACAAAAAACCTATCAAAATAGTTTCTACGCCTCGATTTCATAAAATTTCCCCACAAAATCCCTCGATTTCTCCCCGCAGTCAGTCGCCATAAAAGTCTTCCTTAACAAAATACTCTTAATGAACATATTCGCTGAAAAAAACTCGTCCTCCTCCCTTCCCCTTTAATTCAATAAAAATCAGATCCATTTGTACGATAAGAAGTCCATCCACCCAACCTCGAACATAATAATCCAAAGTGAAGAGAGCACCACACAAGCTAAAGAGTCTATAGACTAAAACTGCCCGGTATTTCGCCGGAAGTGGGCGTTTCAAGCGTCGGTCCCACGAGCGCAAGAAGTCTCGATCACTCTCCTCTTACCGCTTCAATCTACCCCCACTTGGCCCCTAAAATCTCTCTTTTTTCCCTATTTCTTTCGACTCGTAACACGAAGTTGTGGTGTCTACATACACGCGGAGATGTCTTTCCGTCTCCTGGCTGACGCTCCCCTTCCAGAAGGGTAATTAACGATTTAACAGACACGCTGGATGAGCATCGGGCTGCGAGGTGCAGCACACATCAGTTAACCAAGTTGTTATTAGGCTTGACGCGAATGCCGCCGAGAGTCGCCACGTAAAAAGATCTCTGGCCCCTGCCCCCTTTTTCGTCCCATCCTTCTCCCTCTCGCTTTCATTTTTGTAATTGGGTTTTTATTTGCTGGACGCTCAACAGCCTAGGCCAATAATATTCATCACACGGAGAGGAATATTTCATAAAAATTACGTATTGTTACGTATTTGCCCTTTTCTCTCTCTCAACCACCTGCATGTACGATCGTCTCTTTCTTTCCCGTTATTCTTTCATCTTGTTTTCTAGTCCGCGGACGCGTCAATCCTTTTTGTATTTCTTTTCATTATTTATTTCGCCCCAAAATTATTTTAATAAACATTTATTCTCATCAAATATCTCGTATTTTGCAGTATTTTTTCCATAATTCGTGAGCGAAATGTGGTTGTAGGAAATTTTACGGAACTGTCACGGAATTTTCCCGGAGCGTTCCGTAATTTTTATCTGAGTCTCCTGTGAAAAATTACGATACCGTCACTTAAATTTTCGGAGTCGATTCTGTAATCAGTGAGTGAATAGTGAGTTCCGTAATTTTCCTGAACATTTCTCTGGACTATCCCTTTTTTTCAGTAAATATTTCTTGTTAATTCATATTGAGAAATATCCAACTAATTTCCTATGACGTCACAAAGATGTGGAACGCTATATAAATTCCCTTCTTTAATGAAAAATCCCCAACGATCTAGAAATTTTACGGAACGGAACGTAGAAATAACTCACCAGCTTCATAAAAATTGTTGAACGTTCAAGAATTTTTGATTTTCGAGGCACAATAAGTCGGCAAGTTTCTGTGAGATTTTACTTTATCGGGAAAAATTACGTGAGAATTCACGGAACGTCTCAGCTTTCTTCTCTTCCATTCCTGTAAAAATTGCCGGAAAACGATTCCCCATTGCGGATCACGTGGATTCTTCCGTAATTTTTACTGAATATTTCTCTCCGTCTGTCCAACGATTCCCCGCATCGCATGCACAATGCAGCCCTATTCCACTACTTTTTCCATAATTTATTAATTCATCGCATCGGCGGCTTCCTCCTGACACACACGAGCAAAATCCAGCCAGCGACGGAGCCGTTAATGTTTTGTGTATTCAAATAAAGGCGAGAGTTGATGCACATTGGCACGCAAGCGCGCGAGACCAAGCGCCACATAGCCAACTGGAGGTGGAGAAGCCCCTAATGGCTTTATAATGCCTTCATTTCGCATTAAAACTGCCGCTACTTAATTCCCACGTATCCCACCGTCCTTTTTTTCCAGCCATCGTCAATCTCCCGAAAAACGAGTAAAACACGGAGTGAATGTGGGGAAAAAAATTCACGTGAAAAATAAGAGGATGAAATTAATGAAGAAAAAGGAGGGGAAAAGATCGAGGATGAGGGCTGTTTCATGGGCCCGGGGCCAAGGTCTATACGTCTTCGATATTTACGTCGACACCGGGCTAATTCAACGTCCAGTAATGGCCCCCAACCTTTCTCTCTTTCTCTGCATCGTCTTGACTTACAGCGTACACAAACTGCAATCCCAGTTTCAACGTAGCTGTAATTTTCAACTTGGGGATTTTCACGCGCTCCAACATCCTATGATTTACGTGAATGAAGAGTGTACACTTGTGGACGACTTACCCGCGCTCATCTCCAAGCAACACATGCTGACGGAAGTGTATGCCATAATGGCCGACTCGGTAATCGTGATTTTTTTCTTCGTTCTTCAACGGACAAACGAAAGGACAATTAAGTTAGCACAGAAGCCATTACGAAATGAATTTGTAAACTGGTGGTTGTTGCGGAGTCGTGAAGTATCAGATTGCCTTCGCGGAGAGGACGAGAGTGATTTTCAGTGGATTTATCCGGTCTGCGTCAGCTGCAATTACCATAATGAATCACGGAGTGGAGTCTATTGGAGACGGAAGATCTTCGGGATGTGGATGGATTTTGTCGGCTGGGCAGCGGGAAATGATTGTGATTGGAGAGGGGCGAATTTTCGTGGTGGGTGGGGAATAATTATTGGGCGAAATGCCGAGAACGTGATAGGGGAAGGTTTTGTTGGGTAGAAAAGGTCTTCTTGGCCTAGTGACAAAATATACTGTTCTTAAGAAAATGGCTAAAGGGAACCGTTACTTCGCGTACCGTCTGGAAGCTTAAATCTTTGTTGGTCGTATTCAGAACAGTGCCACAAGATATGATCAAAAGTTTGACTTTCTGCCCCGCAAGAGCCGCTGGGACCGCGGGTTATTCCACAAGTATGTAAACGAGACATCAATACCTCAAAGACTGTACACTTCAGACTTGAATAACTTACCGCAAAATTATTAAATTATTTACAACAATAAGAAAAATCCTAATGGGGTTAATAAAGACTCGAAGTATCATTCACTCAAGGACTATATGTTGCCCATCCCTGCACTAAGTCCCAAGTATTTGAATACTCACAAAACACAATATCGACAAGTCTTCGTTGTTACCCAAGACTTCGGATCCTTCGGCCAGAATTTCCAGACGTCAGTAGTGCCTTTCGTATTCACTCCAGAATCGGTAATTCGTTTATTCAGCAAATAGTGCACATTCATGGATCGCGTGATATCCAAGGTATCAGCAGGGGAAAGAGTAGAGCGGCAACTCCGGTAACGTGAATATCCTGTAACCGGTGCACGGCCAAATTGTTCCGCCAACATTTACCCAACGGTTGTATTATACCTTAAAAATATATCCCAGTACAAACGAAACGAATCACTCTCCATCACGAATTACGAAAGCTATTTTTACACTGGACTTATCCGCCGATGAATCGATTGGAACAAAGCGGAATGAAGAAACAATCACAAACGAGGGTAAACACGAATGAACAATTTCACTAAAACCAGGAGCAACAAATCATCTCTGCTTTTCTTTTTTCCTCGTTCTTTATTTCTTTCGGGGGTTTATTTACAAGGGGAGCAGCTTGCACAGCGATTGAATGGATATAATGCATTTTCAAAACACAAGCATCATCTTTATCATTCTCATTTTTGTTTTAACAATATGTATATAATAACGTCTTTACTCTAGCACTATTTCTCTTCATAGCTGTAATAATCAGTTTCACTGTTTTAATGAGAAAATTAACCGAGCACACAATCTCAATGAATAATCATTTCGTCATTCCTCGGTTGTTTCCCTGAATTTATAATTTAACAGATCTGCAGCAGTCGCAAAGAAAAAAGAAAGAACATAAATAACGAATAACAATAGTCCGATATGATCGTTAATAATTAAAGAAATGTACAGCTTATGATACACAGAGGTGTCGAGAGTATTCATCAGTATTTCGGCACTTCCTGATACAACAAAGGTATCTCAGAATACCCTATAAAGCTCGTTTATCTCAATTTTCCAGAGAAAACTCATGTGACTCAGACGAAATAAAAAGACTTCTCAGTAACTCTCATTAAATACTGTGCAAGTGGTACTCATTTAATATGTGTAATTCCCAGAGAATTCAGCGATTCTTCTATTCTATTCCCATTCCTCAAACTTCAAATCCATGCAGCTGTCAGAATCATGAAAACGTAAGTGTTTAAGAATTAATTCCATGTGGCACGTGCCGATCAAGATGTCAAAACAGATACCTTCGATACCTTCGAATTATTCTGATCCTACGAGTCGTAGTTATGCACGCAAGTCCTGGCTACTCTCACTCTCTCACTTTCATTTCCCTGTATCCGTATTTTTATTCCGAGTCATAGACTTCCATACACGTCCGTTCCAAAACTCCACAACACTCGTTTCAGAAGATGATTTCAATTTTCCTATTGATGAATTCTGGATTAATGATCTACCCACTGACTTCTCCCGTTGAATCCTCGCTGCGATCACTCCACTCGTCCCTCCCATTCATTTTATCAATTCTCTGGCATGAATCTCTCAAAATATTATCAATTCACAATATGTCGACTAATTCGGTTAAACACTACTTAATCGGCGTTCACGAAGAAATTTTTTCTGACGTCGTCAGAATTGGACAAGTTTGCTCTGGAAAATTCAGACATTAGTTTTATGGGGAATTCTGAGATACTCTTGTTTTATTAGGAAGTGTCGATATTATGCTGATCTCTCATTATCACCCCAAGAAATTCCCTCAGAGGAATGTGTACGGTAAAAAATACTCTATTTTCGACGACTACGAGGGCGACAGATCCTGCGCTTCGCGGTAGAGGCTGTCAGTGGGTGATGGTGTTGCACGTCGTGATGATGATGGTGGCGAGGGTACAGCTGGCGCAACGGGTTTTCTCCCAGCCATTGTTGGATAAGGGGAGAATCGGTGATGGGACAGGGCCAGGGCAGACGGGTAGATGGGCCGTGGTGCTGCTGGTCCTGGTGGACTCTGCTGGGAGCTCGAGGCAGCCAACTGCTGCTGATGATGAGCTGCTGCAAAGAGAGTTGGACCTAGGGACGACGCCCACCAGAGGTGACCCAGCTGCTGCTGTTGCTGCTGGGCTTGCTGCTGTTGGTGTTGGGCCTGTTGGTGACTCGTACCTGCGGCTGGCCCTCCGGGGTACACCAGGGCTGGACTGACTAACTGGGCGTAAGGGCCCACTGCTGCCGCCGCTGCTGCACGCAGAAGGATTTGGGACCTTGCTGCCCACAGGGCCTTCTCCTCCAGGCTGAGGTTGCTGGCTGCACCCTGGAGCTGCTCCATCTCGAAGGGAAATCGGTGGGGGAACCTCATCGACTGCTGGTCCGCCAACATCGACTCCATTGTCTCCCTGAAAGGATAACTGCTCGATTATGCTTTGTGAAGCTTTCATTTTTCTTTACATTGATCTATTTTTGGAGGTATCTCATGCTGTGGGGAATGTTGAATCGTTCGGTTACTGATATTTTTAGTATTCATTGACGAGAATATAGTTGAAGACCTGTTTTTTCATTGAGCCGTGGACTCGCTGCAGTGTTATCTGCGAGACACTTTGGCTTTGACTTAAAATTAACGGAATTCTGAGGATAAGAAACGGAAAATAACAGTTCAGAACACAAAACATGAGGTTTTGTATTGACATTTGATTATTCTCATCGGTTCATTTTCTCACTTTTGCCTTTCCCAAAATTAAATTGTATATCCTTTCTATAAAAAACATGGGCAATATTTTGAATCGAAAATGAGAACGAGTGGGGAAAGTAAGGCGGTTTTCATGAGTACAATCGTCTTGCGGCGAATTTTCATGAATCCCGTCTAAGAAACAAAAGAGAACTGAGTGCCATTCTATGAAACATGAATAAACGAATCATAATTAAGAATTGTAATTATGATTAAAATCTTATTCAGTGAGCATAGGAATTAGAAGATGAGCAAATTATTTATTGTAATATGAATATTTAACAGCTGATAAATCAGGACATATGACTCCCATCAGTGATACCTCTTTTTTCAATGAGAATAGTTATAAACAGTTAATTGAAGAAAGGAATATCGAATCTCAGAAGAAAAAGCGCACAATGGCGCTAGTGATAATAAATATTCATTATCAATATTCTCTGGTATTGAAGTCATGAGTAATATTCACCTCTTCATGAATTAAACCGACTAATGAATATACATCACCAATCATATGGCCTTTGAACCTACAACATTTAAACAAGATTCAGCCAGAACAAATGTTATTCATGAATTTTTCGTCGGCTGTGTCATCCTTATATCAGAACTACTAGAAATCGCTCAACAATTAGTGTTGGCTAATGAATCTTCTAAGCACTACTGTTCCCTGACGGGTTATAAATCTATCACTTCAGATAAATGATGAGACGGTTTCCGTAACATTCAACTACCAGTCACTACCCACCTGAATAAAACAGTGATTAATATCATTATAATCTGAATTATTACGTCCTATCGCGTCTCTCTGACATTTGTCTTCATTAAATCTCCTGTTCATGCATCAATGCAGCAGGAAATGCAGATGCTGCAATGAACTGAGCAATGATTATTTCCAAATTGATCGTCACATGATAATGAATATTCTCAATCGGCTGATTTTTCCAATTTACAAGAGAAATTTTGATGAATTTCAAAAGTTAATTCACGGACATGAATGAAAATGATAAATTCTCTCCTTAAACATGAGAAAATGTGACAAAACTAGAACTCACCTTTCAAAATCCGTGAGCCTCGAGGAGTCCCTGAAGCCCTTGGCGAAGGGATTACTGTCGATCTTGAGTTTCGTTATCTGCAAGCAAAGATAAAAGGATTGATTGACGTTTTAAAAAAAAACCATAAATCGCCGTGAGATAGAAGAAATGAATAAATAGAGAATCGTAAAAAGTAAAGTAACAGAAGAAGCGGGAGGGGTGATAAAATTGGAACGACGATTGCATCCACGACAATGTTTTATTACCCGTGGAATTTCTCTCTTGTGAATCTCAGTGAGTGTAGAGGGGAAGCTTGAAAATGTGCTGGTAGTCCCCCCCCCTCTCTCTCTCTCTCTCTCTAACCTTCACCATGCGATCCTTGTTATCGTCGGGTAGCGCGTCGAATGGCAATTCGCCCCGGGATTGCGTCGCGACAGCGTCAACGATCCGTATCGCGCCCAAACGACGGCCGACGCCTGCTCACACCGTAGGCCTATTCTCCTACGTTATTTCGACAAATATGGACCGAGAAACATCGGTAACTCATTCCCCTAATGCCTCAATAATTCATCACACTTTAGGACTTCCGAAATTTCCGAAATGCATTCCGAGAATTCTGATGACTCTTTAGTTTTCGTTGGAAGTAATTAGGCGACTGGGGCGATGCAGATGCGATTGGTGAGTGATCGGGGGAATTGGTCCATGATTCACGAGCTGGACCGTCACAATTCGCCATTTCTCTTTTTACAATTGGTGCTTTAAAATCGATCGTGAGTCAACGACTCGTAAAATTAGAGGGGAGCCGGGGCGAGAAAATTCACAGGGATACTGTCACTGTGATAAAGGAGGGTCGATAGGGTGAAGAATCAAGATTGCATAACGATCGTTTCAATTACTCACTGAATGGATTTTAACAAATCCCCTTGTGTGGTAGTTTAAAATGCAGTGGCTTGAAAAAAAGTACGATTCAATTGATAACTGATATTTTGGGTCTTCAATTGGACATTTTTTTAATTTTATATTTCAAATATTGCGGGAATTTGTTGTCTTAAATTTAAGACGTCCTAAATTTAAGATATTTAAGGCACGTGATGTCTTATGTTGACGACATTCCGGACATGGAAGACATTTGTAGGATTAAACTAGAGACATCGCGTGACAAGTCTTAATTGACCTAAATTTAGGACAATTATAACTTGTCCTAAATTTAGGACGGAGGATTTTGACTGTCTTGTGTTTGACACAACATGTCTTAATTTTTTCAAATTGAGGGAGAAATTTAAGACATTATGTCCTAAACTTAAGCCATTTAGGACACGTGTCTTAAGTTGACCTTATTTGGGGCATACTGACCTATATTTACAACATTTAAGGCATGTGATGTCTCAAGTTAAAGATATTTGGGACATTTAATACATTTCTTGTCCCAAATTTAACTTATCGCGTCTTTTAAATGCCTTAAATTTAGGACAATATGTCTTAATTGGCTTCAATTTGGAACAGCGAGTCCGAAATCTTTTGAGGTTGACACAGCATGTCTTAAACGACTCAAGTTGAAGCATAAATTCAAGACATGCGGTCCTAAATTTAAGCCATTTACGAAATGTGATGTTCTTTGTTTAAGACATTCGAAACATTTCAGTTGTAGAGTAGACTATTCCTACACATTTTGTCGAAACTTAATTTATTCAAGAAATATCCTGTCCCAAAACTGAGCTTTTCCAATCCTCGTCATGTCCTAAAATTAAGCCACTTGCCATGTTGTCTCAAATTGACATGGACGACTTCCACCTGCGAAAAAAGTGTCTCAACTACACCAAATTAAACTGCAATAAATGAGCAAGACACGTCCAATTATCAGAAAAACAAGTCAATTAACTCCTCATCAGTGAAAAATTTATTTTTCACAAACTGATTCACTGACGCGGATGAAGTTACACATGATCTCAGGAAGCCGAGACCTTGCTGGCGGCTTATACGTATGCTGCAGTGTCACGCTGGTGTCGAGTTATACGCGTTCGTTCAATATCCCAAGGGGCACGAGGAGAGAGACATGGATGAGGACGACGAGGGGGGGGGGGGGNGGTGGGGGGGGGGGGGGGGTGAGGCGAGAGAGCTACTCAGCCTAAGCAGCCATATGCAAGTGTATACATGTGGGTGTTCGCCAAACCCACCCTAAGTCCCTTTCCACACACGAGCCAGCGGAGACTGGTGGCCCTCACGGGTGTTTTGCGTTACCCTCGCGGGGCCACCCAGTGCGAGAGAGCCTCAGAGACAACTATACGGCGGATGTACAGGTGGCCTTGGCCAGTCCAAGAGCAACTCTTTGCGCCTTCGGGGTAAACAAGTGGATGAGAAATTGTTAATCTACTTAGGCAAACTTGTATCGCTTGAGGGGAATTAATAATGGTGTTGAAAATTACTGGGCATTTTTAGATTTTATGGAGTTGATTGGGGAAGTTAGGAGAAGAGGTATCTGCATGTGAGAAATTATTTTGTATCATTGTTGTTAAGCTTTGAGAATATTAATTAATATATTATTAATATATTAGTATATTAATGTATTAATATATTACATTGATATATTAATGTTTAATAAATAAATAATAATTAATATTGAATAATATAATAATTTCAATATTTAAATATATTAATATTTTTTATTAATTATGCAACAATGATTGATAAAGATGTGGAACGCTATTTAATTCCCTTCTTTAATGTATGTCATTAATATATTATTGGATTAATATATTAATGTATTAATATATTAACATATTAATATTTTTCTGCACGTAATGTCATAAATTAAGACGTCTCGAAGACGCTAGTTCCTCCAGTCAGCTCTTCCTAATCTCATTCTCCCCATTGTCAAAAAATGCTTAACGACCTGATAGAGAAGAGACGTCTCAACCTCGTGCCCTCTGAATCCCTCTTTCAACATGTCGACCACCACCGTTGCTGTTCACAATTCCATCCCACCGAGGACGAGTAAAACCTCAATGAGTGCCTGTCTCTATTAAATCTATTATTACCCGACAAGCCAGCAGTTGCCATTGACTCCACCTCTATTCCCGTCCACTTCATTGGCGACCTTTTCAATAAAGAAATCTCACCAGTTAAACCGTCCGCAATCCCCGATGATCGTGTTGCGCGGTCCCCCGGAAGTCTTATTCTTCTGTCACATCAGCTGCTCAATAATTATCGCGCAATCAGGTGAGGCCCCGGGGACGAAGACGGATATGTCTATTCAGAGACGTCGCAATAGTCATGACGGTAAAAACTCCGGGGTAGAAAAGCATTTCGCTGGAGAAGAACATGTGGGTTATTTTGCAAGTGATGTGCGAGTTATTTTCCCCATCATTTCCTTCTGTCATGTCTAATTCATTGTTTATTTCATTTTATTGAATTGAATAAGGTTTCGTTTCCACCCAGAAAGAAATCGAAGTACTCCTAAACGATAAAGAAATTATTAAAAAAGTGTTGAAACTAATGAAACTTATGAACATCTACACTGAGAAAAAAATTTATTCCTTCCAAGAAAATGTTATTGGTGATATCTTTTTCATACTCTTAGTAGAAGAAAATATCTCTTTTGGAACGTATTTCTCCAGGCCAGTCATTTCCAGGTGCTCCGAAATCAGTTCCAAGCGTGAGAATTATGGTGATCTATAAGAATATTCTTCTGCATATGACCTCGAAGAAACTCCAATAATAATTATTAACATTTGGAATTATTCCAATTTTCTTTACCTGAGAAAATCGCCAATTTGTAAAATCCGGAAGATATCGGAGAACATTTTGTCAAGGTCATATATAGCATAATAATCAGATTGTTCAATATCACTGTAATTTTTGAGGATAGACTTGGACTCTCTGAAAATGACTGTCCTGGAAAAATTCGTTCTGAAAAAAATTATCTTCTGACGAGAATATCAATCCTTGGCAGGAATAATTTTTTCTCTCAGTGTGCCATCTAATATTATTTATGTAATCATGAAACAGTTGTACAAAATTCAAGTAAATGTAAATACCAAATTTCAAAAGTCGCTAAGAACCTAGCTGTTGATGCGACTTTAAATAAAAAAGAAAAAAAAAAAGATTTCTTTTCAACTAATTTTATCAGATTTTCAACTTAGTTGAATGTTGGCATCGTCATTATTCTTATTATCCCTTTCTTCTATACAACCGATTGTCTTTTTTACGGTTCTATCCCTCCCCTCAGCCCTTCGATAAATTGTCAATAGAAAAATTTTATTTACACATACTTGAATGAATTTGAAACATCACATTTGAAGAAACCATCAGAAAGCTCGCTTTCAGGGAAATTCATGAAAAATTCAAAATTTTCAACAATCATCATAAAAATCAAATCAACCAATATAGCTATCGTAATCATCTTTTAACTTCGACTTAATGTCATTGAAGCAGACATTTGAAGCTATGATTGAATTCATTTGAAGCATGATATTCAAAGATATTCCCGGAATTCTGATTTTCACCCCCATCCCACCAGTCCCTAAAACACAGTACAACTACTGTTATAAATCGAGGGAAGATCCTCAGCGGGAAGTGGGCCAAACGTTCAGTTGCTGGTGGTGTCAACGAAGCCGTAAACTCTGATGATCATCTCTCCGTGTTTTCCTCGACTCTAGGATTTTCTTTGACGCTGTCTTCTCTCGGACGACATAAATCCCGTTGGCTTGTGAAAATCACCTTTTATTTTCACTGAGTTTCATCAAAGAGCCGCAGACACAGACCAAAGTGCCCACCAGCAATATTCCCCCCTGAAAGCTCGTTGCGCTTCATCGCTCTCCACCAAGCGGATGATCATAAAGTCCTCAGACCAGTGGCATTTTCAGGGTGGGCATATGTGAATATCGGGGATAGACACACACGTAGTACACCAGGGAAGTGGGCCAGATGTTTGGCTAATGATGTCAGCGGAATCGTAACTAAAACCCGAGGGCTCAAGCCCTCCCTCCTCCACTCGTCTCTCTCGTTCTCTCCAACTCCTGCATCTTCTCGCGGTTTTTGGGAGGAAAGAGTCTTATTACTGAGACGCGTTGCACGTGCTAGTGCCACTGCTAGTCGCGAA